CGAATCGCAATATTACGTACTTCTGCATTCCAATGATCGCTTCTTTATCCCGATCATCGACGCTTGCGTAACGACCAACGACCGCATCGACAATTAATTAAACGTCCGTTTCTGCTCGTCGTCCGGAAATCGCTAGAACACGCGTTTATTATCGTGTATTTCTTCGACGTACGCCTTTCGCGCGTACGCTGATTTATTGACGTTTAACGAGGCGTCTCTCCGACAGAGAGAAAAAAACGCGGGAGATCGAGGAGAGAGGACGAGGGGGGCGGGAGAGAAAGGAAGAGAAAGAGAGAAAAATTCGATAAACTCCATGAACGAATAGATAAAAAGAAGCGACGTCGCGCCCTCGAGTGTCTGCCTTGCGACGAGATAAAGCGCGGTTTATACGCGACGAGATAACGGATCGCCGATGAGGGAAAGAGGGGACAGAATGAGATTGGAGTCCCTCTGTCCGAGTGAGGGACGCGATGAATTTTTGAAGAATCCCGTCAATAGCAGTCGCTCTCGCGAGTATGAATGGCGGGAGGCGGCGGTCGCGGGAGGCCACCTACCCGACAATCTACAATGACGAATTCCTTTCAATATTTCATGAGGTCTATAGACTCGAGTCACCGTTCTCATCCCGACGGCATCGATCGCGCCCGTCTGCCGCTACTAAGTGGAATATCTTTGATAAATCAAGCAAGTCATAGTCCAAGTTTTTACCTTGGTTTATCTTGGCGAGACAAGAAAGCGACTTCCGGCGAACAGTAATGTAATGTTCTAATTCTATTCACGTTAGAATCTATTAACGAGAGTAGATTTGAAAATAGTTTCGAGAGGCGTTTAACATCGGCGTTTTCTTCTCTCTAAAATTGCGAGCAGCTGTTATGATGACACGAAGCAAAAAGAGGGAGATAGAGAGAAAGAGGGAAGGAGAAATATAATACGAAGTTTAATATCAAGTGCGTATCGCGTTACGAGTGTCACCCGATCTTTCTCGTACCGAGAAATCAAACTCCTCCGATTAGAGCGATTGCGATCATTTGATTCGTGTTATCGAGCGACTTGTGAGAAAGAGGAGCGAGAGAGAGGGAAGTGTGAGATTAATCGTCTTCTCGTTCAAGAAGTTAAAGTCGCGGCTAAAGCGCAGCATCGTCTCGAAAATTATTCGTGCACTTTGCGTTAACGAGTTGACGAGCAAAGCCGAGCGCTGATAAATTCCGCGTAAACGTCTCATTAGAGGGTACGCGCCCTATCCGAATCGATCCTATCTTTGAAAAAGGCTGAAGGAGTCGCCTTAAAATACATTCGGGACGCGCGCGTAATCGCGATTGCCGCACTTCTCTCTCTCTCTC